ATGAGAAAAGAAAAGAAAAAGGCCATAAATATAAGCAAGGTTTCTGAGGTGTTTCAGGGAACTGACGAGAGCCCAAGCCAATTCTATGACTCTATGAAGTCTTTCGGCTATACACCCACTTTGATCCAGAGGCAACCGAAAATCAGCATATGATAAATGCCACTTTTGTCAAACAGTTCCAGGGGGATATCCAATGTAAGCGACAAAAACTAGAGGGGCTTTGCTGGTATGAATGTTAGTCAGCTGCCAGAAGTTGCCACGAAAGTGTCATTAACTGAGATAAGGAGGTCCAACAAGAGGCACACCAAAGGCAGAAAAAGAAAATGGCCATGCTTGCTGCTGCCATTGCAGGGTACCAGATAACAGGCCCACCAGGAGGAAACAGAGGCAGAGGTCAGGGAAGAAGACAGCCAGGTCGGCAGTTTCCCAAAGCGTGACCCTGACTGCCTCAGCCTGCACAGGGACTCCTGAACTCTATCTATCAGCCTACACAAGGGACATCACAACCCCCTATGAAGTTAGGGAGAAACCAGTGTGCCTATTGTTACCAAGAAGGTCACTGGAAAGGTGAATGCCCCCAACGAATAGCTGATGAGGAAGCCCAAGAGAAAAATGGCCCACAAGGGTCCAATTATCAACAGGACCCACCAGCTCCTAACGGTTTTATGGGCCTGGCCTCTATGCAAGGACTGCAACAAGAACAGGCCAAATTGGGCTCCTTACTATCTTTAGGTCCTCAGGAGCCTATAGTCAGCATGACAGTAGGGGACCAACATATGCACTTCATGGTCGACACAGGAGCTGAACACTCTGTGGTCACACAGCCTGTAGGTCCCTTCTCCAAAAGATAACTAATGTTATGGGAGTCAATGGGTGTCAAGCCAGACATCCCTTCATGGTGCCACAACACTATACCACCAGCAGCCATGAGGTCATACAAGAGTTCCTATATCTCCTAGATTGCCCTAATGGGATGAGCCTTAATGGGATGAGACCTCCTGGGAAAGCTTCAAGCTAAGATAACCTTTGACTCTCCTAATCACGTAACTCTGAAACTTAGAGGCCCAGAGGCTAGAATCATGACCCTGACAGTCCCCTGAGAAGAGGAATGGCGGCTCTACAGCCTAACAGAGGTCTCATAAAAATCTCCAGAGCTGCCATTTCGAGTACCGGGAGTGTGGGCAGAGGACAATCCTCCAGACTGGCAAGACATATACCCCCTGTGATTGTGGAACTAAAGCCAGGGGGGAGAGCCTGTCCATCACAGGCAGTACTTCATCCCATGGAAAGCACAAATAGGAATCCACAAGCACCTGGAGAGGCTCTTGCATTATGGAATTCTCTGGGTTGTCAGTCTGCTTGGAATAGGCCTCTGTTGCCAGTGCAGAAGCCAGGCAGAGATGACTACCAGCCAGTTCAAGACATGTGAGTCATAAACCAGGTCAGAGTCAGTCTACAACCCATCTTCCCAAACGTGTATATGCGGCTGGGTCTCATTCCTGCTGAGGCTGCTTTTTTCGCCTGCTTGGACCTTAAGGATGCTTTCTACTGCATCCGACTAGCCAAGAGAAGCCAGCTGATCTTCGTTTTCCAATGGGAGGCCCCGAAAAATGGCACCAAGGGCCAGTTAACTTGGACCCGGCTGCCCTAAAAATTCAAAAATTCTCCAACCATTTTCAGTAGGGCTCTAGCCTCAGATTTAAAAGCCTTTTCCACAAACCAGTGTGGCTGTATCTTGCTCCTGTATGTAGATGACTTACTGTTGGCAGCACCTACCTGGGAAAACTATGCAAGGGACACAACAACTGCTCACCCCCCTGTGGAAGGCAGGTTACAAGGTCTCAAAGAGAAAAGCCCAAATACGTTAGAAAAAATTAAGTATCTAGGTTTTCATTGTCCCAAGGACAGCGCCAACTAGACCCTGAAAGGAAACAGTGTGTTCAATACCAGTCCCAACTACCCGGCTTCAAATCCAGGAGTTTTGGGGAGCTGCAGGATTCTGTAGAATTTGGATACCTAACTTTTCTATCATGGCAAAACGCCTCTATGAAGTTACAAATGGGGATGAACAGGAGCCTCTGCTATGGGAAAAAGCTCAGCAACAGGCCTTAAACAAATAAAACAGGCCAAGAAACTCATTTAGGCTGCGTCCAGCTTCTGCCAAAAGTTCTCCTATAGGTAAGGTCTAGTCCCACAAAAAAAAACCAGGTTTCTCACCTTTTGAAATCCTTTATGGGCGGCCACCACCTCTTGTTAAGGGCTTTCAGGGAGACTTCAAGGAGTTAGGAAATCTTACTCTAAAACAACAAATGCAAGCCTTACGTTCAGTCTTAAATGCCATCCATTATCAAGTCAGAGAACGACTACCAATTAGTTTAACCATTCTTTTAAACCAGGTGATATGGTTTGGGTAAAAGAATGGAATGTACAACCTCTAAAAACCCCCTGGAGGGGCCCATTTACTGTCCCTCTGTCTACCCCAACTTCAGTCAAAGTAGCCAAAAAAGTTTCCTGGATCCATTACAGCAGAGTTAAGCCACAAAACCATTAGCTCCCCTTCAACTGACCCTCCAGAAAGTCACCAAGGCCAAAGGAAAACCCAAAACGGATTCCCCAAGCTCTGCTCTAGTCATTCCAGGGCTGGCTAGTCTACACATGGCAGAAGTTTGAGGATCCATCAGCCTTGCTTCAGCCACACACTGGACACTGGCTGATCTACGCATGGCAGAAGCTTGAGGATTCAACAGAATCAACACCTTACTGATAAGCCATTGTTTCGCTTTGTAAGTCTTTGTATTTGCCAGTTGCTATACTGTTTGTTTTATTTGCTATAGGACTGACTTTATTTACTATAAAACTCACAGAGTCAATCTCTACAAAATGGACATTTTGGGAAAAGGTCTCACTAACATTTCTGTTCTTTCTTATATTAGAAAGTTTGCCCATGTCTCAGTACAAAGATGGCATGCCATAAAAATTGGCAACTGGTTTAAAAACATGTTCTCAGGCCTGGGAGAATTTAAGTACATTATTGGATCTGTAATCCTTGTAGGGATTCTGTCTTACCCTCAATTGCATAGCCCAAGTAATTATTAACTCCATCTCTAAGTTTGTGGAAGCAGTTGTTGAATAAAAAACTGCAGCCCACATAGTGTTAATGCACAAATTGAAGATGATGCTCTTTAATCCATGAATGGTCGAGCATCAAAGAGGGGAATGTGGCAGGGAGGGACTAAAAACAGTCAAAATTATTCCTTTTTAAATAATCCCTGCAAACTCCAAACCTGCTAGACATGGCCCATGAGAAAACGAAATAGCCAAAAGTGATTTTCCTGGAAATGCAAGATAGTAATCGATTCCCAACTGTATCCCCACATCCTCTTTGTGAAGTTATCAGTTTACAACCCCTGCTTGTCATACAGACCTTGAAGACAACTTGTTCTTTGAGAATCTGGTTTTGCTTGACACCAGCTTGCAAATTCCAAAGAAAAATATACAGCCATACAACCTGACTCCCTCCCTTACCTAATCTAACAGATAAAAACCCCTCTCATCTTTCTCCGGGTTGCTTAGCCTTGGAGCATTAACCCGCTGAATAGCGCCAGCTCTGATGAAAATGCTACTTCCTAAGATAGCCTTAGTGTCACGGTCTTTGTTTTCCTGCAACACCTCATCCTCCTTCAGTACATGGGACTACAGGCAGCACCACTCCAACTGGCTAACACTAGGCATTTTGGGGGTTTTTTTTACAATTGATAGGAATATCTTCTCCTGAAAAGCAGTTTGATGTGTTGAGAAATTTTTTCAATGTCCCTGTATCTCTCCATTTACTTGGAAAACAGAATTACGTTGAAAGAAATAGTATGTTGAAAGTTCATTTAAGCTGATATCCTTTGATGCTAACTGGATTATTACACACTTATAAAAGATGCCCTCTATTGGCCAGGGAAAAGATATGTCTTAGGATCATAATGGCAGTTTTGTCAAGTAATTATAAAGAGGAATTAGAAGCCGGGCTCGGTGGCTCAGCCTGTAATCCCGCGCCTTTGGGAGGCTGAGGTGAGTGGATTGCCTGAGCCCACGGGTTTGAGACCCGCCTGGGCAGCGAGACCTCATC